GTGGTTTTGGACGTTTTTTGCGAAAGAAAAAGGTTTGGTTGAGGAGGCCACGTGACATCCCCAAGAACATCTGAGGCCAGGTGTGCAGCAGGTTTGTCCCAGTTTGACATCACTTCATCCGACTTCATAGTTTTCCTGATTTCCCAGGAGTCAAACGGGAGGTGTCCTTCTTGTTGGCTCCACCGCTACTGGATGACCCACAAATCCACAAACATAGAAGCCACATCCGGACGTCCAAGGGCCACTTTCTGCAGAAATGTGAGCAAGCTGTGTTTATTGATTTCGACCGGCCAATGCAAAAGCACTGTCTTGAACTTTAGACCCGCATGAAGCAATAATCCAAACCCTCATGGATGAGATCCTATATAGCTCAACGTTGGGTTTGGCATGGTTTGGCCATCCAGGCAGTCCAAAAGCAAAACGACCTACCTGTGTTCTTCCAAAGGCGAGTTTGTCCTTGACATTCGCCCCAGTTTGAGAAGGTCACCTTAGGTCACAAACAAGTTCGGTCACTGGTCACTATGGGTCACCAAGCGTTCATTTTCTTCGACTGGTGTGGAGGCCCAACAGGACGAAGTAGGGGGCAACACTTACTGGCTGTGCTCAGTATGAGAGAGTACAGCGAGGATGAGGATGAACATGGATGAACAACCTGTCAAAAGATTACGCAAGTCCAAGTGTGTGTCCCCGCTGTTTGCATGGAGTTGCCCACCTCCCCCACTACAGGTTCAACATGATGATATAAAATTGTTATATACATATTGTTACTATATATGTGGACACGTCGGCAGCATAAGAAGACAGGGACATTGCTTGACTCCCCCAGCCACCAGGCAGACCAGACTTCTGTCGCCTGCCATCCCGTCGCGTTCTGTTCATCCCTTTTCCAACCGTTCCGTGCAAAACCGGCAGGGAGATCGCAAGGTAAGCAAGATGACCGTGGCCAGCAGGACTTTGAGCGTTTGGGCCCGAGCTCTGCCCTGAAACATCAGCGATTGACGCTCGGGAGGAGCGTCGCGCGAGTCGCACGGATGGACCAGCATGGACCTGAAAGGACAAAGCAAGCCACGCTGATGGCTTGTTTCCAGGAAGCGAGTTGATCATAGTTGATCTATTTGATCGCTTGTAGATTGTTCGAGAGAAATAGAGAAAGAGACGAGAAAACATCGATTATATTATATATAATATATATCAAATATACGTGTTACATAGGCCATATATAAAACACATGCATATGGTCAGTGTTTGCCCTTGAAACATGTCTAGCCAGGGCGTCGAGAAGCTGAGGGAGCGTGCGCGAGGCTCAGCGTGGCGAGACGGTGACGGGACCACGACTCCGATGGCCCAAAGAGACGGGTCCACTTCGATGACCCAGAGTGGCACAAAGAACCTAGATGACTTGTGAGACGGGTCCACCAAAAAAGAAGAAAACCTTCACACACACACTCACAGAGAGAGAGAGAGAGAGAGAGACAGAGAGATATATATATATATACATATCATAGACAATAGACTCATAGATTCAAAGCTACATTCACATCATTTGTTTCATTTGAATGGGTGCGCTCTGAGTGCTTCTGCCCAAGGGAGGCAGATTCCCATGTCCCACCGGCCAAGGCTGGCGTGGCAAACTCTCGCATGCCGGTAGCTGTTGGAGTCCTGGTGGAGGAACTGACCATAGAGGATGTAGGTGAAAGAGGATGTGCCAAAACCTGGTGAAGGTGTGGGTTTTTGGGTGGCTGGATCACTGCTCTCCTTCTTGTTTGGTGACTTCGGTGGATGTTTCAATATTTACTGTAGAATGGATTGTCAAGAGTCTACCATTTCATGTGCGCCAGTTCCTTGATCAAACCTGACCCATCAAGGAGTGCACGACACCCATCATGTTCTGGTGCGTTTGCCGCGAATGCACTTTGTGATATCATCACCACCTGCTCACACTGCGACCAAGATTTTGATCCCTCCCCACACCGGAGCCTTCGTTTCATGAACATCCAACGCCTCCAACCGACGTCCGAGCCCTCGGAACCCGACGGGGTCTTCCCCAAGGCAGAGGTGTCCGAGCTGGAAGACTCCATGAAGCCGGCGGAGGGCTTCGAGGGCGACCCCTTGAGGCGCGGTGGTTCCTGCGCCGATGCTGCGCGCGGGAACGCGCGCGGTGGGAGCTGATGATGGTAGACCTAGCGCACAAGGCCTCCCGGCCTGGCAACTTTGCATCGGTTCACGAGAAGAACTGAAGCAAACGGCAGATCAGCCTTACAATAAGCGCCCACACATGTGTATGTAGATCATTTCTTCCTCCGATCTCCCTCTTTTCATCCACATCCTCCGCCATCCACCGTTGCCCTGTCCGACCGAGCCCGACCGAGGAAACGCCTGGGGAAGCGGCACTGGAGTCTTCAGGTCTCCCCGGGTCGGAGAGCCGACGTCAGGGCGCCCAGTGCGGCGCAGCCGGGCCGCGCAGCCGGGCGTCGCCAGTGTAGGTGACAGAGATCAGGGGGATCTATACAAAAATAGATAATTATAGATTATAGACGTGTTAGATCGTAGTATAGCTGACTTACTTAGTTATGTCGGGCTGATGTGTCGGTTTGTTTTTGATGTTTGGGATAGTTGAGTGTGGTCCATCACTTTGGGTTTTGCTTGCCCTTCGCCATCTGAGAATTTTAATAGTGCCAATCTTTGGGCAATTGTTTGTGGAGTTGGTACCCATGGAAGATTGATCTCAACTTCAAGTGAGCGTGGAATGGTGATTGCTGTCAGCCCTGGACCCGCCTCCTGAAAAGATACACATTCTCAACCGCCTGGTCGCCCGTATACGGAGGAATGCGATGACGAGCCCAGCTGGGGCAGTTGGTTTTAGGAGCCGCGGGGCAGCTGGAGCTGCGGGAGTGTGGAGCGGGTGGGGTACTTGGGTTGAGGGCTTAGTGGACTGAGAAGGGAGAGAAAGACTCATACTCCCTGAATCTCATCCAGAAATCAACAGCTTCGGGAGCGCATAGGCCAAAAGGATCCAAAAGGCATCCTCAGAGATTCATCGATATCGATGGCTACGTTTTGTTTGTATTTGTCCCGTGGGTTTTCCAAGCCACAGACACAAGGGCTTTGTTGTGAAAAGAGACCAAGAACCTCTAAAATATCGGCTATTGATATTGCCCTAAAATATCGATGTGCCCCTAGCGTCACTGTCCCTCTCGGAAATAGCCCTCAAAAAACTACCTGGCGTAGCCTCGGTGGAATCTTTGTTTGGGTTACCGAGGGGGTGTCGGGCGTTACCAGGACTTGGCATTTGCTGACGCAAGTCCAAAGCGACAATGCCTAGGAGAGCCACGTCAAACATCCAAACAGACCAGTATAGTCCATTTTAACAGAGTATCAAGCTTGGTAGCTTTGGTAGTAGGCCTCATCATGGATTTTCCCTGTGCCAGTGGCTAGCATCTAATCTAGGTTTTCGATACGGCTCAGTGATGTGTCCGGGCTGTTCTAAGCCGGCAAGGTTGCACTCAGGGGCACCCGTGATTACAGTAGGGTTTTGAAATTAAGATGCTCCTGGCCCAAGAAGAACCAATTGTTTGGATGTGACCAGGCGCGGCGTGCAACCCTGAATGAAAAAAGGACATGTTGGAGCAGCTTGCGGGATCAGCCAGCCTAGGAGGGTCCACAAACTCGTGCACGTCCAACGAGGGAGGTAAAACGTTTCCAGAAGACCCAAAAGGGAGAGATACAGAGGGAGAGAGTTAGAAAGCTCACCTGCTGACCCTACTGCTGGCGGGGTTGGAAGTTTGGAAGATGGAATATGGACCTGTGGCCTTTGATCGAGTCTATTTCTGTCCACTCCCAACCAGCCGGGCGACCATGGTGGAGTGATAGGCGTCCCTGGTGCTGCAGCTCAAGGGCTAAGATGTCTAAAACCAGTATGTGACTCATCCGATCAAAAGCACCCTAAAAGCCTAGAACCCTGGCGGTTTGTCACACTCCCTGAAATAATCATGGAAGTGGATGGCATGGCCCCTTCGATGACCATTTCCTCTACAAACAGGTGGTTTTCCACACCCATGTTTTTTCTAAATAAAGGAGTGTAACAGTGTAACCTTGCGTTCGGAAGTTTTGACCGGAATGTTCAAGATTCAGCACCCATCTCGAGGACCTTCTGCTGCACCAGCCCGGCCTATCGGTGTTTACCCTTCATTTGTTCCCGTGTTTCTCATTGTTGATCACATTTTGCTTTCAAACTGAGTGCAACTAGAAAGCTAAGGTGTTGCTACATGACAGTATCGTTTCAAACCATGTGAAAATGTGCCACTGGTTTTCCGTTCGAGTACACATTGGATGCACAGGTTTGATAGTGAGCTACCACTGGTTTTTCCTGACATTCGATGTATTTGGTTTGCTGATGTTTGCTGTGTTGAAGTGGAAGGAGTCGCCCATGATCCCATCAGATCATCAGCGACCCGTGGTGATCCCCGATGCAACAGCCCGAAAATCCTCCGGGGAAGACCTTCTCAGTCAGAAGTGTCTAGGGTTCGTTGGGAGCTGCTGGCCGCTGTGGGATGCGGAGAATAGACTAGCTGTCATTGGCTGTTGCGTGTTGTTGCACGAAAATGTGCACGCTGCGGCCCTGTGCCAGCACGCTGCGGCCGTGTGATGCCCACATCCTGGCGCATTTCCAGCCTATGGGTGTTCAACAGCAAGTGCATCGATGGACAAATCTTCCTTTTTGCACCATTTGCTTCGAATGACTTGGCTCGGAGAGGTGTGGGTTCGCTGTTTATATGGTTCCTGAAGATGTTCTTCGGGAAAAGCTGATGACAAGTTAGTGTGCAGCTGTTATCGCAACGAGAGTGTTCTCACAGCCCATTCCGCATGCACTATATGATTGCATGATAGAATAATGCATGAATATGCTACTGCTATGACTTGAGCTTTGCATGGCTCTTCCTACATGCAGGATTTCACCTCAAATTCGTCACAAGCCAACAAAATCAACCAGCACTTGGCTGCTCCAACTGAATCAATACGTTTGGTGCACCGTCTCCTGCATCGATGAAGGGCCTGGCCTGTGCTCATCCGGATTGTGACTATGCCGTGACCGACGACCGGCAGTTCGGCGGCTTCTGCTGCAAGCGCTGCCACGCGGCCTTCGTGCGCGGCGACCCTGCAACGCATGGGGCCCAGTGCAGCAAGGCGAGGGCCAGACCTTGGAGGAAGGTCGGGTACATGTGGTGTCAATGGAGCACGGAAATCCACGGAAAATCCATGGAAAGCATTGGAAAGCCAGGTTATTCCCCAAACAGGTTTACCTGTGAGGGGTTCTTACTCCTTTTAAAGGGGTGCATGCTCGGGCCGGATGATTTTGAGTTTGTCTCC